ACTGGAAGAATAAAACGTTATATTCGAGTTACTTCAGATTTGTGTGTATTTAGACTTTGTAGTATTTGAAAACACCTGTATTCATGTAGCCGGTTTATTGCTGTTACCCCATATATTCGTTTTAGGAATATACAAATTAATATATTTGTTTGTGATGAAAGCGCATAGTTGACATGTATGGATACATGGTATTAATTGAAGTACAGACAGTACTGAAATTCATTGTTGTTGTTTTAGTCATTTTTGACATTTTTTTTCTGGACAGCCAACTTTCCCCTGGGGACAATACTCTTAAAATTTTGGAGTTTAAACACAAACTGTAAAGGTGTCTCAAAAATGTCCGGTATCATTTGAAAAGTCGTCAAAATACGAAACCTCTCTATGTTTCTGGAGTCTGGTCTTTCAAACGAAGTCATTATGTTCTCCCACGTCTTTGTAGGTTCTCTATCATTAAAGTCATTTTATCCAAAGCACTTAAGACACAGGTATATAAATGTCAGGTTTTCTGTAATTTCACAAGGTTTGAAAAATAATGAAATAAAAAGCAGCACAGCTCAAGGCTGAAGATGAACAATCGTGTAAAATCTGCTGCAGATGCTGGAGTGCCGTGTCCTGATGTGTTCCAGAAAAATTAGACTGTTTTTTTTCTGACAACTTTTTGACGCTTGTACATGACTACAGCCTTCAATGTCCTGAATGTTTGTAGACAAAACTCCACTTTATAATCCGTGGATGTTGTCAAAGACTTCCCAGTGTCCGGTCTGTAGTTCTGACGTGTCTGAAGCAGCTCTGGGAGGATGTTGGAAGTCAGTCGGCTTCAAAGCTGACGCGGCCTCAGCGAATCGATCGATGGATCTGAAAGGTCGAGATGAAGGAACATTTAATCAACTCTGTGACTTGTATCAATCAGCCTGAGTGACACGGATGTCGTACAAGTTTAATGACATTTATGGAAAAAGAAAAACAATGTGATTCCTGTTGACAGCACTATGAGAAAAATGGCCACTGAATATGAAAGTTGTTTTTTTTTCTTTGCACCTCTATTCCATTCTTTTCATTTTTTATAAAACAAACATAGTTTAAATTTCCACCATGCTAACAGCTAAGGGCAGTCACAGTAGTACATTACACAGGAAAAGCAGAAATCTTTGGCAGGAAGAGGCTTCGTATTGACAACCTCTTACAGAATAAAGCTCACAGGTCGTCAATGCTGTGAGATCAATGTGACCTTTGAGCTTTAAATGTTCTTTAATTAAGGTGAGGAGAATAGGAGCGAGATGTCAAGGTGGTAGGAGAGTGGACATGGACAAACACTTTCATTTGTATAGTATGAAACTACTTTTTTACCCAGTTGTTTATTTTTTGGAGAAATGCTTACTCAGTATTACTGGATGTCGATGTTTTTCTTTTAAATGTTGACTTTAATACAACAATTCAGGCTTAAATACTGTGTTTTGGCAAATACTTTTACAATCCTAACTTCCAAGTGCACATTAAACATGATATGAAGTGATGAAGCAAGCCCTGTCCTGCCCCTGGATAGAGAGATGGATACGTAGATGGCTTAGTGGTTAAGTTACCATTAAGGTGCTCTGAGCATGGCACCGTCCCCACACACAGCTCCCCGGGCACTTAAAGCTGCCCACTGTTCACTTTGGTGATGGGTTAAAAACAGAGGTCACATTTGGTTGTGTGCAGTGGTGGGCTGTGTCACAATGACAAGGAGTTCACTTTCACTTTCCTAGATAGATAGATGGATAGATAGATGGATAGATGGATAGATAGATAGATAGATATGTATATAGATAGATAGATAGATAGACAGATAGATAGATGGATAGATGGATGGATAGATAGATAGATAGACAGATAGATAGATGGATAGATGGATAGATGGATAGATGGATGGATAGATAGATAGATAGATGCATAGATGGATAGATAGATGGATAGATGGATGGATAGATAGATAGATGGATAGATGGATGGATGAATAGAGTTATAAAGCAGTTTCTTCTAAAAAATGCCAAACTATACCGATATTTTTCCACAGAGATTTTTCCACAGAAGAACGTGAACATAAACTGTAAAGTCTGCTTCCAATTCATCATTTCCTGCAGCTTTATTCCCCTGGGAAACTGACAGCGTGTTCCCGCCCACTGGCATCTGTTACCTAAAAATGGTCGCATGTGATTAAACCTGTTTAAAAACGTATATATGTTTATTTTTAGATTTTCCCTTTACTTTTATCATTAGCATGGAATTATGACTCCCCTTTGGTGTTCAAGCCTTCCTGGATAAAAACCTTCCTCCTTCTGTTGGTGTTTTTTTAATAGAAATATATCTATCGCTCATCTTGGGGTGAGCTGGTCCTGGAGAAGACAAATTTACCTGGTGCTCTTCCTGGGTTCGGAACAAATGGTCGCAGCTGGTTACAGAGAGTGGTTGTAAGATGGAAACCTCAGGGGCCGTTTCACCAGGTGGTGGTTTGTGTTCAGGAAGGTTTGTGTTTATGAACATGTTGCGTTTACTGCCCTGTTTTTCTGCCTTGTACTTAAGACAGTTGGTTCCCAATTTGCAATTAAAACTCTCCAAAGTTTGAATAACTCAGGGGCAACTGTCCAGTCTTCACGTTTGTGTCGAGTTTTATTGACGATGAACAAATCCAATTTTTTTTTCATCCACCTTGGTAAAATCCCACCGCCGTCACTCTGCTCAGCTCAGCAAGTAAACAGTGATTTGACTTTATTTGAAGGATCAAGTTGCAGTAAATTGCACGGCAAACCTTTATTGAGTGGATTTAGGTCCAGGCGTGGAGCAGGAAATAAAGTCTGTTTTAATTTTATTTTAAAACGAGAGGCTGAAACACAGAGGATACGACAAACAAGAGGAGGTCAACACCTCACTACCTTTCATTCATTTTCTACAAGATGTGGAAAATTACTCTGCTTGACCATGAGGGGATTGGCTGCCGCAGCAGTCCAGGGCAGAAAGTCGCCGTGTGGCAACTAATCACATCTGACATCTGCTCCGACATCTGCTCCGTGTGTTTCTGCGTGTGTGTGTGTATATGTGTGTGTGTGAGCGCTCTCTAGCCTCAATTAGAATTCTTTGAAATTGGAATTCTTTTTTTTAACCGTTGATCGCTATGTCATTAAAAATGCTAATAATGTCTTCAACCTTCTAACTAGAAAAAAATACCACAGCTCTCTTTTACCAAGAAATGAGAGTCAAAGTGCAGTTTTTTGGTCCACTTGATAAAACGAGGACAAACATTTTACCTTATTTTGAGAGAAGATAATAAGATCAACAATTTTCAGCTAGGTTTTCTGAGCTGATCCTTATCCATGTGTTTCATAATCCTCAGTCTTAAAGCTATTCTTCTGCATCTGCTTCTCCAGTATCAAGAAAAAAAATCAAGAAAAGTTTTATACATAAAAACAAAATGCAAAATCTCCCAGTAAAAATCCAATAATTATATAGTTTCAGTTTATAATTTTATTTAAATATAATCTTTTTATTGTTATCATTCATTAGAAATGTAATTTTTTGGACAAATGTTACCCCTAAATGTTGGATTTGAATAACTTTGTAGACAAAGTAAACGATCACAGCCTGTCATATCCATATACAACAGGAACTCCCTTTCTTTTTTATTAGCTGTTGGCTCAGAGGCCAGATTTAAATCCTGGAAACATCAGTGTCCCCCTTTAATCAGGACTTCTGATTAAACCACACATCTGAATATCAGCTCTCCTCCATCATGCCCTACACAGTGAATAATAAAGCCATCCATCAAATATGAAACCTCACCAATTAGGGGTGTGTTCAATGTCAATTAGACGAGTCAATTAATCTGGAGACAACCACCAGCCATCAAAGAGATTAGGAAGTAAAAGGTCAGCGAGAAGAAGAACATAATTGGTATAATCTTTAAAGGTTTAAAAAGATCAGAAAACATATTTACGCAAATAAATACATATATATGTAATTATATATTTAGTTATATATGATTAAATGTATACATTTCTGTATGTGTGTGTGTGTGTGTTTATATCAACAGTTAATAACAGCATTTCATGCTCATAATGATTTTAAGTTGGACGAAACTGCAAGTCTGTGGTACTCACTATAGATGTACTGTAACTGTGCATATATTGTTTATTCTTTTAGAAAATATAAGTTCCTCAGAAAGGAAATAAAATTACATTTCTGGTCGACGGGCTGACGACCCCTGATGTGAAAACAATATCCTGCTCTACTCATTAGAATTTCTTGCTCTCCATCTCACGTGGGTAAAATAATACCCAAAGTAAAGTAGTTGAAAAAGAAATTAAATGAAGACTAAATGGAACCCACTTTATCCAATATTACTTCCCAGCTAATAATCAGGACACACCACTGGAGGAGCAACATCTTCCATCACTTTAATCATTTCTTCTACCATGTAAATGTGTTCTCCTAGAGTTGTGAACAATAACAGTCTCTGTTAGATCCAATTGTATTCTGGCACTTTGTCTATTCATTGTGTAAAAATTGTTAAAAAAAAAAACAAAAACAAATTGAGAAATAACATCTCAGTAAAATTGCCATCACAGCAGAAAGACCACCATCCCAGCTGTGGGTCAGTGGTCTGTGCCCACTGAATGTGTGGTTTGAGTGAACCAAACTGACAATGAATGGATGAAAAAGTCCAACAGGAAAACTACTGAACAGACAGTGAACCCTAGTATTAATCATTTTCAATATGAAAATCCAAAGTGATTTTTATTTCCTATATTTCACTGAGCTCCAGGAA